TCTCAGCATTCCATTCACATCTTTCCAACCATTAGCAGTTCCACTACTGTCAACTAAACACTGGGGAGAAGGGTTTATTAAAAGTTAGGGATGACCACCGAGTCACCCTGAAACTGATTTTTAAAACCTCAGGAATTTAAAAAATTGCTTCATCTATTTTTTCCTGATTTATCAAGATAGGTGAGTACCAACAGTATAAAGAACTCAGGGTAAAAGCGGGTGACCACTCTATTGGTTTACCTCCCACAAATCTTTATGCGTTTTTCCACTTTACGGAGCATAGATCACGTGTTATATAAAAACTGGTATTATGTTAGTTGGAAAAAAAAATTTCATTCTAACGTTTAAACTAAATATTTCTAATAGCTTTATAATCCCACAAACAGATTTAGTATCGCATAACCATGGAATGGCAATGCTGTTTTTCAGCTGGGCGGAAAAATTGAGCCATTGAGCCAAAGTCCAAATCGCTGTCTTGAATTGTGATACCATTCATTCTCTTGCCAGTTTTGCAGTAAATGAGTTATGTTTAAAAATTTAAACAAATTCCTCGAGTACTATATTCAACCTTAAAGACCAAAGAAAGCAAAGGTCCTTCTAGAATTTACCACAATACTCAAAAGTGTTGGGTATTTAAATAAATGAAAATTGGTTTGTGACCTTACTGCTGCCTCTACAGAACTTTTAGTTTTTACTCTTGAAACTAAGGAATTTTGTGGTAGTGGTTAGCATCTGTTTCAAATACCTGGGCCCCTCCCTGGACAGCCATTTCCTCATAAGAACAGGGAAATAATCTGATCTAAAGCCAATAAAACAACCTACTGGTGGCAACAGAGGCCCTGGGACTTCATTATACTCTCAGTACTGAGACTTCTTTAGAGAATTAACTTCCAGGGAAGATAGGCCTGAAAGTCATCTGGTTCCTCAAATCAAGAATCCCCTTTCTCAGACCACAACCTCCCTTTCTTCTTTCTAGAAGCTATCTTTTACCTCTGGGAACCCCCAATGAGGCAGGCATTAGTCCCTCAATCCTACCCTACTCACTAATCACCTAAACTTATTGTATCCTTTGTCTTCCTGGACTCTGTTAACCTTCAAGATATTTGTATCTTGACTCCTTCACCTCTTTTCCTTTTGACATACCCAGAAAACACTACCCTTTTTTTCCCAATTTAATGTCTACCATAGAGAAACAAACGAAGGACCACAAAAACTGGCCCCAGCCTGACCAAGACTTTTTTGGCTACTGAGCCAAATATTTTCCATTCCTCAAGACCGGGGCCTGACCCTGGCCCCCTCACTTTCAGGAAATGGGGGGAAGGACAATCCATATGCACCTCCCCCAAATCTCCTCATGTGTGTCTTGCCATGATCTGATTCTGACCAAGCTTACTCAGTTCTTCCTCCCCATTTCTGACTCCATGCCTTTGTTCTTTACCTAGGAAGCCATTTCCCCATCCTCTGACCACATCACTGCTTTCATGAAGGCTACGCTACTTATTTTATAGTTTTAGTGGCAGAAGAAAAGATGGATATTTATTATCTGGTGCCTGTATTTCAGATGACACTGATTTAAATATTTTTGCCTATACATAGCTATAAAACCACTCTTGACTATGAGAGTATTTACTGAGAATATTTACTAGAGACCAACTAAGGATTTTTAAACTCTGCAGCCCACCACAAACTCCTTCAAGTGAACAAGAACCAGAAAGTTTCTCACCGTCCACTAGATGGCACTGTTGGTCTGCGGTGACTCTTAGAAGGACAGGCTTCCAACTGGAACAAAATAGACAAATTCTTAAAACAGTCATGCCACTTACTCTGGCAGAGGTCTCCAATTAGGCTACACTGGGATTATGACAAAATATGATAAAGATCACTGTCTAGAATGATTCGATAAATAACAGCTATTATTACTAGACTCTTCAAATAGGTTATAAACACCCTATAGCAGACTGCCTTACATTTTTTTTTTTTTTTTAGTATTCTTTTTAAACAACAAAACTTTAATCACAACTCCTCACAACTCCTCAGGGATAACACAGAAAATGGACATTAGGGTTTTCTGCAAGTGCTTGTAAGGACAAGCTCAACTTTCATCAGGTGGTCTCCAACTTCTCCTTGGGAAGAAGAGTAGCTGGGGTGCAGTGGTATAGTATGCACCTGAAGAGAAATCTGAATGACTAGGCCCCTTGGCCACAGTAGGAAAACTAGACAACTCAACTGGGCCAGTGTGGCCCAACAGAAACAGCACAGGACTGCTAGTCAGACCTCTCTTCTCTTGGCTCTGCTCCCAATCTGGTATAAAACTTCATGTAACTCCTAACCTTCTGGGCGTCAATTTCTTTTTTTTTTTTAAATAAAATAATAGGTTTAAATTAAAGGTCCTAAGAATTATAGCATCCAAAACCTATCAAAACAAAAAGTTACCAGCCAAAGCAATCTTGAGAAAAAAGAACAAAGCTGGAGGTATCATGCACCCTGACTTCTGGACTACACTACAAAAAACTACAGTAATTGAAACAGTATGGTACTGGCACAAAAACAGACGCAGAGATCAATGCAACAAACTAGCTCAGAAATCAACCCATACACATATGGTACTGGCACAAAGACAGAGATCAATGCAACAAAATAGCTCAGAAATCAACCCATACACATATGGCCAATTAATCTACAACAAAGGAGCAAGAATATACAGTGGAGAAAAGACAGTCTCTTCATTAAGTGGTGCTGGGAAAACTGGACAGCTACATGCAAAAGAATGAAATTAGAACATTTTCTCACACCATGTAAAAAAACTCAAAAGACCTAAATGTAAGACCAGAAGTCATAAAATTTCTAGAAGAAAACAGGCAGAAAACACTCTTCGACATAAATCATAGCAACCGTTTTTTTTTTTTTTTTTTTTGGATGTCTCCTCAGGCAAAGGAAACAAAAAGCAAAAGGAAACAAATGAGACCTAATTGAATTTAAAAGCTTTTGCACAGCAAAGGAAACCACTGACACAACAAAAAGACAACCTACTGAATGGGAGAAAATACTTGCAAATGTTTTGACCAATTAGGATTATTAATATCTGAAATATATAAACAGCTCAATATTTAAAAAAAAAAAAGGGACTAAAGACCTGAATGGACATTTTTCTAAAGAAAACAGATGAACTTCCCTGGTGGCGCAGTGGTTAAGAATCCACCTGCCAATGCAGGGGACACGGGTTCAATCCCTGGTCTGGGAAGATCCCACATGCCGCGGAGCAGCTAAGCCCGTGCACCACAACTACTGAGCCTGAGCCCGAGTGCTGCAACTACTGAAGCCCATGCACCTAGAGCCTGTGCTCCAGAATAAGAGAAGCCACTGCAATGAGAAGCCTGCGCACAACAAAGACCCAACGCAGACAAAAAATAAATTTAAAAAAATAAAAATAAGACATATGGCTGACACATGAAAAGATGTTCAACACTGCTTTTCAGAGAAATGCAAATCAAAACCAAATGTCACCTCATGCCTATCAGAATGGCTATAGAATGGAATATTACTCAGCCATAAAAAAGTAAATTTTCTGCCATTTGCACTAATATGGATGGACCAGTAGGGTACTATGCTTGGTGAAATACATCAGAGAAAGACAAATACTGTATGTTACCGCTTAAAAAAATAAAACAAATGAATATAACAAAACTGAAACAGACTCACAGATACAGAGAACAAACTACTGGTTATCACTGGGGAGAGGGAAGTGGGGAGGGGCAAGATAGGGACAGGGGATTAAGAGGTACAAACTACTATGAATAAAATAAGCTACAATGATATATTGTACAGCACAGGGAATACAGCCATTATTTTATAATAACTTTAAATGGAGTATAATCTATAAAAATGTCAATTACTATATTGTACACATGAAACTAATACTGTAAATCAACTACACTTCAATTAAAAGAACAAAAAAGTGCTTAGAAAGTGTTAAAAGCTGAAAGATAATGTATTTAACATTTTGAATTGACTTACCTAGAGACAAAATATTTGCATTGTTTCAATAACCCTGTGTTAAAACACTAGGGATAGACAATGGCTTGAAGAACTATTTTGAAAATATCTTCTTATTCCCCCTTAAGCATGGTTTCCAAAGTATGGATTTACATGTGGTTACCATGGCAGTATAGCTAAAACTGTTACTACATACTAATTTTCTGAAAGAAATGTTTGCTTTTGTCAACATTCTGTGAAAAGCTAAAAGAACTCAGGACTATGCTTTCTAATGCCCAAATAGTTTATCTGGGTTCAAAAGCAAGAGGCCATCACGGAGTAAGGAAGGACAAGAGTCTACTCCCCTTCCAGTACATGCATCATTCACTTTGCTTTAGCGGAAGCAAGCTTTCCTTTAAACCCCTTTCAGGGCCTTAAGCTAGACAGAGAAGAGAGGAGAACATCTTAAAAACAAACCTCAGCTAGGAGATGAGGCATGTGCCCTGTGGAACAATTTAACAAGTGTTTTTGTTTTAAGGACCTACTCCATGGAGACACTGCTAGGCTGCTGCAAATGTACCAAGTCATCTGGTCAAAAGGCACATATATTCTATTGACAGACTCAAATCCAAAACCTAAAAACAAGATCAAACAAGAGGACTAAAGAGTGTGAATAAAAGCTTCAAAGACAATTGAAAAGTAAAATTAGTCCATTTAACATGAATTTAGCTAGTGGAAATGCATAGAACAGGGTCCTGCAAAATACATGTCAAACTGCTAAAACTAACGAGAGGGAAGGGGGAGGGGAGACAGCAGAGGAAGAACGGGAGGGTGCCTTACAAAGTGTTCATGTCAAAACATAACAAAGCTCATTTTTAAAAGTGAAATGGCTATGCTAATAATAGTTTATTATTGGCACAATCTTTCAAATCTCAAGTTTCATAAGGAAGGTTAGGCAAGCAAAGTATTCTCAGAGTCTAGGGTACTACAACACTGAGATGAACAATTAACAGAGATTAGAACTCTTATGATATTTTAAGAAACTAGTTTAATTTGGGTTTCATCTGCACCAAGATGAGATACATGAAAAAAGTGACTTCTGCATGGTTATCCATCTCATCGTACTTCTGCTAGTTTCATCACTAGACGTGTGAGCCCAACCCTACCCCCTCAACCCAATTGTCCCCGATTCCCTCAGGACAGGCGGTATGCTGTTCGTCCATATTTTTGCCTCCCCCACAATAAACTAAGTCTACGCTTTAAACACACCGAGTGGCTTATACCCAAAAGTTTCACTTAGGTCTTCGCCTTCCCCTTCCCCTCCTGGAACATCACTGGACTCTGCATAGAGGAGAGTGTTCATGTAGTGCTTTGCAGCCTCTGCTCTGAAAAGCGGGCACGTGCCCCAGAATGGCTGCTGCTGGCCAGCCCGAGCCTTTCCGTGTGTGCCAGCCCAAGGAGGCTGGGAACACATTTAAACCTCACGAGCTCCCTTGTTCTCTTCCACCTTGGTTGCAGGGGTAACTGACTACAAAACGCTGAAAAAAACCTTTAACATACCAAAGTAATCTGACAGAATGTCTTCAAATTCATATTCAAAACTTCCAACACAGAAGCCGTACAAAACTTGCTCTTTATCTACCAACCACATTCAACGAAGGTATAAAATACAATTACTTTATTGATTTCTTACAATCAATACTGCCAACCAGCATTACTTCCACTCATGCATCATTAAAAACAAAAGGATATTTCCTTGGTATTTTCAAATGATGCATTATACAATAAACAAAAAAAGTTAGAACTTAAAATGCACCCTGATTAATTATGTAAACTGGTAATTTTTAAAAAAAGCATAACTAATAATTTGGTTCCTTTCTTCATAAAATGGAAATTTAAGTATTTCTCCTGATAGTCTTGAGGTTATCATTAATGTTACGAGTAGTGCAAAGTGTGGCACACAGTTTCTTCTAGAAAGGTGTGTCTTACACACCTTATTAAACAAAGGAAATGTGCATAACAAGATGCATACAGTCAATGCATGAATAGAAAGCATGTTTCAAATACAAGGTAGCCCCTCAGGCAACCATTATTATTTAGGTTTTGCATTATCATTTATGGCATTATAGATTAATTACACATAACATACTTTTATACATTTTAACCCTGAAGAAAAATAATTGTTGCTTGAAAAAAATTATTCCAGGTAGCCATTTGGTTTGTATCAGGAGAAAGTGAACCTCCAAGAGTTTAGTATCTGCCAAATCTGGAATCATTAGCTCGAGTCAGTAAATCCGATGCGCGATATACTTCACAGTGACTGTTTCCTGGTCTTGTCAATGCCTCTTCTCCGCAGGATGCTGGATTCAGCATCTCCGGGACACCCTTGCATGTGGTTTTCCCTTTTTTTTTTTTTTTTGCTGGATTAACTGTATTACCATATTATTTCCTCTTTTTCACCTCTTCTATGGCCTTCCATTTTAATTATTCATAAGTCCTTTCAGAATATCTTCAGAGAGTTCCATGAGGGGAAGTTCTGGAGATGGAAAATCCAAGGGAGGAAGATTGGGTATTGGAATATCCTTGGCTTTCCCAGTATTTGATGCAAACCTCTGCCAGGTTGAAGAGGCTGTAGCAGTTTCTGCATGTGGTGGCAAGCTCCATAACTCTGACTTTTCTACAAAATCAGCATCTACATCAAGCTCCTTTTCTATCGGGCCTTTTAGAAGTCTGGCCTTTTCAGCCTTTAGCTGTTTATTTTCTCTCCTTAATCTTTCATTCTCAGCCACAAGGAATTCCACATGCCTCTTCAAATCTGCAATTTTGGTTGCCTGCTCCTCTATAATTGTTTTATCATCTTTTGGGGCTTTGCTTCCAATGCACAGCTCTGTTGGCTCGCTCTTCTGCTGAAGTAAAAATAGTAGTGTGTCTGGATCCCTGTCAAAGATCCCCTGAATTTCAGGCAAGTGTTTCTCTGTGGAAGGGCTATAATTCTGAGAGAGTAGGGGGCTCTGGCTGTCTGCGTCCTCAGCAGAGGGTCTGTGAGATGCCTGTAGCTGGGCAGCGGCATCCTTGTCTGTGCTCTGCTGGGCTTTCAATCTTTCCTCCCGCTTTGCCCTCTTCCATCTCTCCTGGATGAGGAGAAGCTGTTTCATGTGACTATCCCTTTGCAGTTCCAGTGATAAATGAGCCTATTACACAGAAGGAAAGGTACAATTTTAACATTTTAAGTCGCTTCAGTAATGTCTGGTAAATACTATTTCAGTATCTTCTTTTCTGAATAACCCAATAGCACTTAAAATTTTTTATTTATACTGTTTGCAATTCAATAGAACCTCAAACACTTTTCAAAGTAACTAAATCTTTCTAGGTAAGTTAACATTTTCATTCATAAACAAAATACCATTCAAGAAGTCAGAAGAAGTCCTATTCCAGTTCCAATCGACATGATGAATCAGACCATTTTTGAATGTGCCTTTCCCATCTGCAATGCTATTTGTATTCAGCTTAAAATCAGAAAACTTTCCTATTTAGACTTTAATTCTACAACTAGCTAAAGTCTCGACGCAGGTCTACATTACATGGCTAACACAAGCAGTTCTGGACAGTCAAAGGGAAGTGCACAGAATGGAACACAACTTTTAAGTTCTCTTCGTTCAGTCTGAGGAACTGGTATGTTTTCTCTGCCACTGATATCCCCTCAGATCTCCTTAATTCAATTAAACAAACATTTACCAAGTAACTCCTGTGGACCTGCCACTTTTATAATCAGGAAATCACCTTTGGATAAAGATGTAGCTTTGTGTAAAGGTATTTTAAAAACCTAGGCAGGCCCTCCCCAGACACAGAAGACAATTTAAAGCCATTGGTGAAACAAATTTAAAAGTACCAGAACTGCTTAGGAATTCAGGAAAAGACAGGTCTGGATTTAAATTATTTTTGACAAGCAAAGGCAAGGCCAACTGGTTTCCCCTGGGCCAGGCCTGCTTACTTACTGTGAGCTCATGGTCAAATGAGCTAATGATCAGGAAAGGTACTAACAGGTCTCTAAAGGACACGCCTGGCAATCTAAGGTCTGTGAGAAACTCCTAGAAAAAAGGACAGCAGTTTCTGCATGCCATCAACAGCAGTTCACTTAGTTTTATTTTTTATTTTATACTTGAGTATAGTTGATTGACAAAGTTGAGTTAGTCTCAGGTGGATAGCAAAGTGATTCAGTTATACATGAATCTATCCTTTTTCAGATTCTTTTCCCATTTAGATTATTACAGAGTACTGAGTTCCCTGTGCTATACAGTAGGTTTTTGTTGATTATTTTATATATGTATAATATGTGTATGTTAATCCCAACAGTTCATTTAGTTTTAATTTCCTTTCTGAAGTACTCATCTCTTCCCTATTTTATGTATTTCTGACTGCAGTGTTTTGGGAGGAGCACAGTGCTTTATTTTATACACAATTCAAGTCTGCACAAGAAAATCCTTCTAACCCTTGTTGAAAATATTGAAGTGTCTTACCTGCTCAGACTGTGTCAGCTTCATAGCTTCAGAAAGATACGCTGGTTAAAAAAAAAGAGAGAGACACATTATGTGTCGTCATTTTGTTATTAAAACGTCAAACAAAGAGTTTTAATACTCCTCATATGACAAAGAGAACTGGTCTTAGAAGCAATTCTGCTACATAGTTATCCTATTCCCGAAAAGGATTTTTAAAAAAAAGGATTCTTAACTTCTCCATAAAAAATATCAGTGGTAATCAAATGTACATATTCCATACACCTTGGAGGGGCTGGTTCTTTTAAATCAATGTAGATTTCACAGTTAAGGAATAAAGATGGCATAATCAGAAAAATAGAATTAGGTAGGATTAAAATTAAACAAGAACCTATCAAAATCCTATTACTCAAATTATGCTCACAAAAATATCAAGATATTGACTATCAATGACTTTTTACCCACATGAATACCTAAACTATCATTTTGGTCTCCTATAGAACTACTTTTATTGAATTGTTTCTGAGCTATACTATCAGCCTACTGTGAATCTGGTAGTTAAAAGCCCAAAGAACTCATTGACATATTTATAATAAGTAGCTGCAGGCAGTATTAGGACATTTATGAAAATGTCACTGTAAAAATCCATAACTTTCCTCTCTAAGCTGACTGCTAGAACGCTGAAGGCCATGTTCCCCTTCAAGAACCCATGATGCATTTTGTGAACTACCAGTCCTCCCCCATTTTATCTTTCTATGGATTTTATATTTTGTTGTATTCCTCTGTAAGCCCTTTTATATCTTGCTGGAACAAGATGGGGTATAAATAACAAGTATTATTAATAATAGGTCATGTCCAATTAATCCCCATTTTTTTATCTCTTGCTCACTATAAACTTTTTGGCATCTCTCATACATTAACTTCCTTCTTGCTTTTTCTCCAATACTACAGGCACTGCTTTCTGTCTAATCTTAATCCAAATATTTTAATGATTTCCTGAGTTCATCACTTAGAACTGTTGTCTGCCAGGTTCTATCACAGTCTTCAAGACAGACTAATTGGATGCTCCCTCCACATCAGAAAACAGAGTTGGTTATATGGCCTATGCTCCAGCCATACCTACATTTTCCCCTCAACTTTTTGTCTTATTAAGTCTGTATAACTGCATACAGACGACTTCTTTTCCTTTTGTTCATGTGTAAGTCTGTTCAGACATTCTATCTCTTACTGTGATTGTGTGGATTTCCCCAGACATCCCTCCCATTATTCTGTGTACATTTGCCTCCCTGTCTGAAATACAGTTTGCTTTAAATCCAGTTTCTTAACACATAGAACAGTTTTACAAAACCAAGCTTAACCCAAATGCAGTGCCTCCCTTTGTAGAACCTTGAAACTATAACATGACAGAAGAAGATACCCAAGGACACTGAGTTCCCAAAGCTCAGAGAATTCAAAAAGAGTCACACTGTCATTTAAATTATTTCCCAATCTTAAAATCTGGGTCTTAAAAGAAAAGTTATTTTAAAAGAAAAAAAAATTTTTAATCTGACTGCATGGTAATGAGTTTACCCCAGAGCCACAACAGGAACAAATGCCCAAGACAGAAATGTAGGCAGGGAATACTTATCTCAGAAATATTTAGCAATGTGGTTAAACTGTTTTCTTCAATTATGATACAAGGCTAATATCTGAAGTAAATACTAAGTAAATGATGAAGAAAAGGAATTAAGAAAATCTGAAGAATCTATCACTTCTTAAAATAATAACATTTACTATCAAATACATATAAACAATGTACTCTGAGGTCTGCTCATCTTCTGAAAAGTTCATTTTGAGTTCTAAGCATTGTTAATGCCTATGATTAACTTCCCATTTAAGCTTTTGCTCTTTTTCCTGTCTGTGAAAGAAACGAAATCCACTTAGAAACTGGATTGCATTAAGACTGGTAAGGGAGGACTTCCCTGGTGGTGCAGTGGTTAAGAATCCGCCTGCCAATGCAGGGGACACGGGTTCAAGTCTTGGTCCAGGAGGATCCCACATGCCACAGAGCAGCTAAGCCCGTGCGCCACAGCTACTGAGCCCGAGCGCCACAACTACTGAAGCCCACGTGCCTAGAGCCCATGCTCCGCAACAAGAGAAGCCACCGCGATGAGAAGCCCATGCACTGCAACAAAGAGTAGCCCCCATTCGCTGCAATTAGAGAAAGCCCGTGTGCAGCAACAAAGACCCAACGCAGCCAAAAATAAAATAAATTTATTTAAAAAAAAAAGACTGATAAGGGAGAGTTACAGAAAACCAGTTACAGCTGCTAATCAAGGGTTTAAAGCAATAGGGTTTAAAGCAATAATGCTGAATTCTTGGTAGTTTATGGCTTCTTAACTTTTTTTCAATATAGAGCGGTAAAAATGCGTACACCTCCTCCCCACCTCCTGCCAGATGTAGACAGCTTTCTCCTTCTGGGTTGGGTATCTCAGTTTATCAAGTAACCTCTTTATTTCTACATATTTACAAAACACTATCAGAACACTACAAAGTGTAGAGGATATGAGTCCTTAGCTGTGTAGTCTCGGGTAAACTGTCTCAGAATCTCCTCTGATCTTGAACAGAGGCCCCTTATTTTGCCCTTAAATTCTCTCATTTCAGGCTTTCATCCCACCAGTCTTTCTCAGATGATGACCTTTCCCTGTTTTGTCTCTAAAATGATTTCCAAATACTAAGTTCCTTCCTCTCAGGATACATTTACATCCATACCTCCCAAAACACCTCTGTTCGAGCCCTAGATGTAAGTCAATTTAGAAAACACTGAGCTCATTCTAACCACATTAATTTTCTAACTAGCACTACATTCACAACTCTACTCTGAAACACAACACAAGGCTATTTTTAACCAAGTCTAAACTCCAAATCAAATCCGCTGGGTGGGATTAACTAATCACACTTAAAGTTGTACCTCCATAATTAGAGCTAATGGGATCCAACAGACTGCCTTCATCTTTTCTTTAGATACAGAGAAAGGGAGAGAAGAATTTAAAAGCCCAACATTAATTTTAAGTCTTCAAATAAAGACAGGGATGCAGGCTAGGAATGAAAGAAACTTCTCTCTCTTTTATGTATTCAGAATATCCTACCAATCCAGAGACACTGCTTTGGGAAAGCAAATGTTCTCCTTACTTGCTGCAAGTAATAAATCCTTCCTTCTCGGCGAGGGGCGGGGGCAGAGTATCCTACCAATCAACACACAACCTAATGCTGATCAGTCTGTTATTTATGTGTAACCATGACCACTCTGGATTATTTAACTAAATGTAGCATTTCACTGCAGCATTCATGTTTTTTTTAAAAATAGTATAGTACACTTTTTTTTATAGTGACTACAAATTTAACAATTTGATTCATAACAAAATGTGGCTTATGAAAGATTTAAAGAGCACTAGCTGCCAAGTTTAATGCTGTCTAAAGCTCCCATAAAATTCACCATAAAATCCACAGAGATTTATGGGATATATACAATGCATTCAGCCCTACAGCTGAAGGGGTACACTTCAGTAGCAAAACTAACTCTTCAAAAATAAGACATGAAATTTTCTCTGAAAATTACTGACTTGTAGGCAAAAATCACTGACACAGAAGGACTTATCAGGAGGGGCAGCCTCTGCCAGGAAAAAGCAGGACTTGGATCATGGTACTGGCCTAGAGGGGAGGAAAGCGCCTTCCTCCAACGGAAAGAGTACGGGGCTCGCTCTAAGACAGGCAGCCACTCCACTGTAGGATGAAGCACCCCCGCCCCGAAGCTTTTAGGCTACTCAGCTAACAGAAACCAGTCTGTACAAACAGACCCTGAAGATCTATTTCTGAGTTCAACATATGCTAGCTTGTATGACTGGGATAAAATTAGGTGTTTGGTAAGAATCCAGTAATTCTAAACTTCATACCTAAAAGAAGGTCATCAGCAGCATGGTACTATAGGCATGAATGTATAGACGAAACATTCAGAAGGGAAGCTAAAGAAAGGCCACAGGAAAGAGTTTCAATGGATTTTGTATTATCAGCATCTTAGAAAACAGAAACTCAGTGAAAATTAATGGCTGGAATTAAATTAGTTATTACTTTCAAAACCCAGAAAAGCTAAATATTTGAAACCCAGACTCCTTCTCTATAACAACTAAGATGAACTGACAGACACTTCTTGGAATCACTTCTGTCTTTGGGGATCTTCAGGCTCAGGAAGCTGTGTCCAGGAATCATTTATGAATACGACATATGCAATCTTCTTGATTTAGAAAGACTGGGTTAGGAGGAGCTGGAAAATCTAACACACTCACTTGAAAAATAATCCAAGCTGTGTTCCAGTGGGTCAGTAGTATCAACCTGGTACATGTAGGGCAACAACACATCATTACTCTTGTGACTTTCATTCTAAATAACGTGTTGAGAGATACTGGAAAAAAGAAACTGCCCTGCAGTTTTAGACTCAGTATTTCTTAAAAAGAATACTTACCTGCAGCCTTTTTGTGACAAGAAATAGCCTCTTCGTATTTCCCTGCAGCTACTAAACGATCTGCTCGTCTGCTCTGTTGATGAGCCTAGAAGACAAACATTCCTGAGTTCCTCTTACTTAAAAAAAAAAAAAAACTTTTAAGAAGATATAATGCTGTTTGTTGCCACACATCAAACCATTATGGCTGTATCTAAAACTGGGGAAACCTAATGGGTAGTATCTGAAAGGACTGGCAATTTCTCTCAACTCCACTAATAAACAATCGAGGTTAACACTAGGCACCAACTCCTTCAGGGAACATTCTTCAGAGACAAGCCAAGGGCCATCATCAAATTGTTACTCAAAATGTATATTTTCTTGGTTTTTAACTCATTCTTCCTTTTCAACATTAAAGTTGCTATTTATGTTTTCAAGATAAAAAGTTTGTACATTATACAGTTGAGGAATTAATGATACCAATATTTAATGTTATGGTGGAGATCTTTTCAGATACAACTCACCAAAACAACAAAAAGCACTGAAAGCAAATGGATTAAATAAATAGTCGTTGGTCTCCTTACATCTGTG